CCAGCCAAGCACCTTCGCAGCGTGCACTGCGTGCATATTGGTCTGACCAACAGCAAGCGTTGGCTCTCGCTTAGAAGACGCCTAGGTTTCACGGCGGATGATGATGTCGCGGTGTACTTGCTGGACCTCGCAGAGTCTACCACCACCGCCGCCGCCGCCACCATCACCACCGCCACGACTACCACAACCACAACCACTACTAGGTTAACTAGGTACGTAAGTACGTTTCCAATGCCTGACCACGTTGACGACGCCAACGGACTGCATTGTATCATATCTTATCTCATCGCATCGCATCGCATTGCATTGCATTGTATCGCATCGTCTTGTCGCGCATCCGACAACAACTCGTCAAGGCATAGCTCAAACTCAGTCCAGCTGGCTTGAGCTGACTTGAGCTGGTTCACCTCAGCTCACCTTACACCTAGCTGTCACGCGTTTCGCCGCGTTCAATCGCCCGCTTGCTTTCCCCCTACTCTAATACTCTCAGTAGTCTCAGTCGGGACGCGTTTCGACGAATCGCCATCTTGCGGGACGATGTATGTATGTATGTATGTATGTATGTATGTATACGTACGTATGTACGCACTGTTCGGTCGGCGAGGAGGGTGAACTGGATGATGCAAAATGAAATCGATCGATATCCCGTTACAGAAGGCGCACATTTCGAAAATCGCGGCTGACAAATAGCGTCATTCGCCTTCTTCGCCTATTCAGGGAATAATCATTACGGTTCACATTTTATTCCTTTTGTTCCTGCAGAGTAATGTTTTTTTAGTGAATAAAATTCCCATTTTGGAGACAAATTAATTTCTTATTTCTAATTTATTGCAATGTAACGAGATTGATGTTTGAGAGAGGTACGACCATACAACACATTTATGCAAATAAAAAGTGTAAGAGATAGAGTCAAAGAAATGCAAATAATACTTTTAATATATATACATCTTTTTATGCTTATATAGGCAACAGGGTAAATGCAATGGAGCAGAGAACTGGAAGAGGAAACATAGCGATCAGGATGAGGAAGCTGTCGGGACTGAAAGCTTGGATAAGGAAGAACCTGTTCTCACGAAAGTGAGTTCAACGAAACAAGATTCTGCGTCGAACAAGATCCTACTTGATGCTCCTGCCCCTGTGATAAGTGAGAATGTATCAGAGGTGTCGGACGATGCAATCAAGTTGCACTTGCGACGTAGTTCGAGGTCGAAGCACCACAAGAACAAGACGAAGCATCGCAAGGATAAGCGGAAAAAACGGCGACACTTGAAGAACGGCATTCAAGATAATGGTTCTATTCAACTAGACAGGTTTGAATGTATCAGCGAAAATACACCAGATCTGCGAAACAATTCGGCAGCAAACAGAGATTCGAGTAATCACGAGATCACCGTAATCAGTGAATTAGATCCTAAATTAACATTAGATGTAGAAAACTTGGGAATTGATACAAAACAAGTTAAACCCCCTACGACCAAGACTGATCACGTAGATAGCATTAGAATTCGAAACGATGTAAATAGTACAACCAACAGCGACACCAGGTGCGAGGAAAACGTAATCGGTGTACCTGGGGATTCGCATGAGGATACCTTTGAGAATAATATTATTACTAAGCTGCATTTTGCCGATACAACAACAACAACAACAACGTCTCTTCCAAAGCATGGATACAACACTGAGAATGTGAACAAGACAAACGTAAAATATTTACTGCATCCCAGTGTCGACGAAACCAGTGCAATCGAGACACTTGCTGCCGACGCACCTGAGAAGGAAGACGAGGCCAAATCGATGTGTTGCGTGGAATCGCACGAATACAAGGACGTAACATCCAACAATTGCGAAGACGCGGAGAATCGTAAATTGGAGAATCGTAAAAGGAGACGGAAACGTCCGCGTCACGATGTGCAAATTCAAGAGAAGAATCTTTCGGAAAATAATGCTTTAGACGAGCCGACGGTGTTTAAACACCGGCGAAAAAAGCACAAGCATACGAACGAGCACAAAAGCAAAAAGCATCACGATGTACGAAAAGCGCCGCAAGACGGCATCGTCAAACAGGAGGAGGCACGAAACGCGTGTCCATCGGAGGCGGCCGAACTGTTATCTTCGACGGCAGAAACCCGATCTTCTGGCAGGATCGCCGAGGATGCGGAAACGCGGAACAGTCGCAGCCCCGAGGGTATCATCGATAGTACCGACGATATCGCGTCCGAGCCACAAAGACTCGCGATCAAGATCAAGCTTTGCCAGGAATGCAACAGTCGTCATTTGCAGGACGCCTGTCCTCTGACGACGTCACAGTACGCGATAGCCGATACCATCTCTTATGAAAAGTGGTTGAGCAGACATAAGGAGAATTCAGAGATAATGAAAGCCATCGCATCGGAGGATCCAATGTCGGAGGGTTATGGCAGATTAACGTACGATGGCTTCGAGTCAGATGACGAATCTCCAATGTCCAGCGAACAATGCAAGGCCAAACCGAAGATGCAGAGGGAGGAGAAACAGTTGGTAGTAGAGATGGATCGACCGCTATACGCGAGAGATTCTCTCCCGGATTGCCTTGAATTGAAAATTGCAAATACCGATCACGGTCTCGGTATCTATGCCAAGAACCCGGTTCCAATGTATGCCAAGTTTGGTCCGCTTATCGGCATCTCGATTAGAGAAATGGACATTCCGGATGATTTCTCTATGCGCCATATTTGGGAGGTATTATCAGACAGACATTTTGATTTATTGGAATTTTAATATTGTAAAATTGCACAAGTAATTATTGCGGAAATGAATCTTTTTCTTTTTTCAGATAGATAATAATGGAAAGAGTACATATATCAGTACTACGGATCCATTAAAAAGCAATTGGATTCGATACATTAGACCAGCTGATACTAAAGAGAAGAGAAGTCTCGCGGTGATTGCTAAGCATGGCCAATTATATTTCGTTGCAACTAAAAATATCGCATTGGGAATGGAGCTGACTTATTGGGTAGAGTCGCAATCTTCCACGTGGACGAGGAAGAACAAAATCAATAAAACGAGTGTGTACAGAGTGTACCAAACTAATAATTAATTTCTCTCTCTCTCTCTCTCTCTCTCTCTCTCTCTCTCTCTCTCTCTCTCTCCCCTATAGACTGTTTCATGATCGTTTGCAACTCTTTCAGATTGTGGAGGATGCAATCTTATTTTCGCACATTCAATATATTATCGATTGCATTGCTGCATTTTTCACGACATGAATTATAGTTTAACGATAAGAAAATATCATTGCAAGGTATTTTATATATTTATCGTTTTACATATATATATTATATGTGTGCGTGTGCGTGTGCGTGTGCGTGTGCGTGTGTGTGCGCGCGCGCGCGCGCGCGTGTGTGGTGTGTGTGTGTGTGTATATAATATTTGACTGCCCTTAGATTATTGGATTATTTCCCATTTTTTAGGTTTGCGGCGCTACAGTGCTCGGCAAGGATAATATTATGAAACACGCAGCAGAGTTGCACGAGGGTCGCGGCGCATACCAATGTCAATATTGTAAAAAGTTTTTCTTAAGGCTGAATTATTTAGAAATGCACCGAACTTACGGATGCTCACAGAATCCGCATCGAGCGCGACCGTTATGCGATTTCTGCGGCCGCAAATTTTGCCAGCCACAAAAACTGAAAGTACACATCAAGAGAATGCACAGCGGTAATGGCGTGTAATTCATTCGCAAGCAATGCAGTGTATTTCTATCTTTATTTTTCTTGTATTTTACATGCAATATGTTTTAATTGTGCAGATATGGCCGAAGTGCTTAGGGAATTTCAATGTAAATTATGCTTGAAACTTTTGGGTTCTCGAGCAGCTCTACAGCGGCATATGAAGGAAGTACATCACAAAGATGTTATTGCTGCGGCCACATGCGATCGATGTGGAAAAATGTTCCAGAACAAGAGCAATTTGAAAATACATATGCTGACTCATAGCGGTGTGAAACCATTTAGGTAAGTTCCTTCAATATTATTAGGTGTTGGAATTAATTCGTAGCGTTTTTTAATGAAAGAATGTTATTTATTTCACATGAGCATTAAAAAATACATTAATGAAAGTACTTCCCATCACTTGTAAAACGCTACGAATTAATTCCAACACCTAATATATTGTATTAGTTTTATTATTTTTCTCGTAATGAGTGTACTTACTATTTACACCCGTGGTCTTCTCTTTTTCATCAGGTGTAAAGAGAATGGCTGTAAAGCAGCTTTCACTACGAAACAATGCCTACAGTTCCATTACAAGAAGGTGCACGGCCTTACAGAGGCGATGATGCCGAAAATCGAGAGGTCCGTGGCGTACACCTTTGACGCGTACAGCGGTGGCCTCGTTGAGGACGTGCCTTGTGGAAGGATCATTCATTCCAGCAGAAGAAATTCACAAGTGAGCTCTATCGTTAATATAGTTTCATGTAACATTTGATAAAATTTCTTTTCTTATTATATATTACATACTCATATGTAGCAGGACAATAGCAACAGTTTGCCATCTCTGGATGACTGCAGCTCGGAGAGCAGTTTGAAAGTCGAAGCATCGGCACCAGTATCGGTACCAGTACCGGTATCAGTACCGGCACCGATACTAACACCAGTACCAGCACCGCTATCAGCACCGGTACCAGCACCATTATCGTTATCGTCACCAGTATCGTCAACTTCGGATAACTCAACAACCTCATCAGCGCCGATATCGATATCGATCTCAGTGTCGGTGTTGGCTTCGGCATCGACAGCAGCAGCAGCAGCAGCAGCGGCAGCAATGACAAGTTCTACTCATAACGTCATTGTGGATTCATTACAAAGTGAGGCGAATTCTACGGCAAAGTATAAGACGGAACAAGAGCCTTGTGTCCCGATTACGCAAACTGCATCTTTGTCCAGTGGACTTGCGACAACGATGGAGAATGAGCAGACGGAAGTTGATCTATACGACACATCGAGGACATTGAGCAAGGGCAGCAAAAAGTGGCTAACTGAATTCAATCCACCGCCTACGTCTGACATCGCTGTTCATTTACCGGCTGTCTCGGCGTCGTCTTCCGACATTTATGATTTTGAAGATGGTAGAAAGGATAGTGGTAGCGAGAAAGCGGTATCACGCACCAGTGCGACAACGCCAAATTTGTTAGAAAGCAACAAATTGCGATTAAATGTATATCGTAGCAGGACGGAAAGTGCGAATGCGAGTTTGCTAGTGGAGGCGGCTCTGGATGCCGCCGAGAGGGACATAGGAACAGTATCCAGTCCGATCTTGGAGGACAATGATCGCGAGACCAATCTCTACTCTATTTCGAGTCAGCTACAGTCACCGATACCGCAGTCGCGATCGCCGAATCATTTAGACTCGTATATTGTACAGCAGGAAGAGCAACTAATGTCGCCCGCGCCAACTCCGGACGACCGGCACACTCCTCCTAGCCACTTACACGTAGATTATCATATGCATCGACCGGTCGACTACATCAACACTTCGCGAACGCACAATATTGAGCAATATCTGCATCACGAGGAGATGCCACGCGTTTCCTCACCGAATTACATGCACATGCAGCAAGAAGACTTGGTGTCGCCGTCAGCTACGCCGAATCACCGCTATCAGGACATGCATCATCATCAGGTGCCAACGGATAATCTCTCGAGCGACGAGGGTGACTCAGTGGCGCAGAATCTCAGCTTGTCTGTAAAGGAGAAGGCATTGCAGCTAGATCTCTCGACGTCGTACAAGTATGACACGCTCGAACAAGATTTCACTCGGGAAAGATCCAATTTTGAGCCATTGGTGCTTAATAGTGGTGAACTTCAGGGTTTAGACATGTCGGCTCGGGGTTTTCATCACAGTTTTGGCGCCCAGATGCAAAATACCCGCTATCATCATCATCATTTGTACGACATCGGCGAACGACAAAGCGTGGACCTCAGCAGAACGAGCAGTTACTCTATGTCGCCACCCCCACCACCGCCACCTTATCCGCATAACGAGGTCGTGCGAGTGGTCAGTTTGGATCTCACTCCTGGTGGCAGGCACAGTGTCGATCTAAGTCTTTCCAGATCGCATCATCTGCACGGATCTGGTACTCGTGTCATTACCAGTTCACAACCCGTTGGCTCGACTACGACACACGTAGTACCTGACGTCGGCGAAGGTCGAATGCTATCTCCACCTCCACCTCCTTTATCAGGATACAATCCTAGTTATCCTGTGAGTCCGGCCCCGTATCATCCTCCGAGATCCGGATATCATCATTATCCCGGTTATTATTGATTGTCACTGACAAATTGTCAGATTGTCGTGGCGGTTTCAACATAGTCAACATCTTCTCAGTAACTTTTATTGTAGATATCTTTGGCTCCTTTTATAATTACTTTTACTCTAAATGATTTTATTTTGTGATTGTTCTAATTATTTAACTGTACATGGTTTTTACATCGCGACACGCTCGCATCGCAGGCGGGAACTGCCATATATTCATAGTTCATACATTGTAAAGAGTAACGTAAAGTTATGTCTTAATTTCGCGATCAATTTAATATTTAAATCGGTAATGATGAACATTTTGACATACGTGCGCAATTAAAAAAGTTAGCAAAAAAAAACTTTTCGACTCAAGGAAATAATAATAAAAAAATTTACTAATATCGTATGATAGACAGTCGTAATTTATCGTCATTTAACGCGATAAAAGTATACTCGGTAGTCTTGGTACATCCAGGACACATACAGAACAGATATTATTTTTTTAAAAAAAAGTCAAGTAGCACGAGATTTTACGAAGAAAAATCTATTCCAGCATGACCGAATATCGATAGAGGGAAGTTCGTTTATCCGTAATTATATAGCTGTTAAATTATTTATCGTTTACCCTTTTCCGATAAGCTGTGTATGCAGAACATGTATGTGTGACGAGTATATCGTTTGTAGAGTAATCGTTGAAGAAAGAGGGAAGAAGAAAGAAAACAAAATTACGTCGTGATCCAATGCCACGTCCGTGATAATTAAGATTTTAAAAAGTTGTTACCTCTCTTAGCTTATATTCTTCTATTTCGGACCTATACTCCATCAAGAAATACTCCATTTAACGTGGCTTTGATGATAACAAAAGCATCCCGGAGCAGCATAATTTTTGCAAAAATTATGCAATTTTAGAGATTAAAAAATTAAATTAGAATTTGTTCTCACACACACACACACACACACACACACACACACACACACACACACAAGAAAAGATTTCATTGATGTCTGAACAGATGCGCGAACAATAAAATTGTTTCGAAATTTATATCGTTTCTACAAATTGTTAAATATGCTCTGTGTATTATCTGGGATGCTCTGATATTTATGAAACATGTGAAATTATCAAGATGCCTAATACGGTAGCTAGATAAGTGTATCTCTGCATGGTGATAACAGATTGTAACGTTTGTTTTTATTCTAGTCATTACATATGCATTAGCTATGGCGAATTAGTTATAAGTTTTAACAAGTATTCCCGCAATCGCGAATAATTTGTTCAAATACATGTATTTATCGTAAATGCAAATTCAAATTTGTTTAAATTTTGTTTAAAATCTTACGCTTTCTCGCCGAATCTAGCGAGAAAGATTAATAACACACATACACACACACACACATATACACGCACATGCGACAAACGTATTCCAATAGAAGTAAAACATAACATGTTTTTATTTTATAGGTACTCGATTTAATAATATTACGTTTCTTTAACTTGAGCGATATTATTTACGATTAGAAATACATGCGTAGCAATTACGTAAGTTTCAGAGTCTCGAAAAAGATAGAAAGTTTGTGCGTGTGTGAGTTGTGTGCGTGCGTGCGTGCGTGCGTGCGTGCGTGTATACGCACACGCATACATATATTGACGTGTTTCACGCGAATGTGCGCATGAAGACGATTTATAAGCTCGCGTGTAACACATTAATTTTCGTGTCGCTTCCAGATTTCTGGATTTTACTCTCTCTAGCCATTTATCGAAACCAAAGATCTAAAAATATTGTAATTCTTGTGCCAAATCGAAAGGCGTTCATTGTTATATTGTATACACACAACTTTTAGCAAAACGTAGCCATTAAAAAAGGGAGGGGAGGGGGAGGGGGAGGGGGCAACGCGCGTAATGTTGTCTCTATCACTTTTGCCATACTTACTTGATTATTCAACTACGCTTCACTCGTGCACTCGCGCGAATAATTTTACATGATGACTCTAAGAATATTTTATTAATCTTTTTTTATGTAAGTTTTTCACAATTTTTCTGCCATTAAGAATAGTTACCATTTCACATTTACTTTAATCGTTGATTTTTATTTAAATGTAATTCACGTTTGCGTTTTCTTTTTTTCTTTTTTTTAAGCCTATTCTATAATTCTCAACGATTGGAACTGTAGCGGTACAATCGTTAAGAGCTACAGAATAGGCTCCTATATCATAATTTGTACATTGTGCATAATGTAAGGACAACAAACGAGATACATCTGTATTAAAATATAAATATATATACGTATGTATCCCATACAGCACAGAATTTGCAGCAATATCGCTGCAAAATCTCTGCAATGTTGCAACAGTGTTACTGCAACTTTGTGCTGCAGGGGATTTATATACATATATATATTTGCGTGTACATGACAAAAAGAAAGATTCAAAAGAAATGTTTACGAGTACAAAATGTGGCACAGACTATATTTGTATCAGGTTTATCGACATTAATATTGTAAGTTAATATTAATAGAATATGGCAATGATTAAACAGAGAGATGTATTTTCTTTCATTTAAAATTCTCCTTTTTACAGTGGAATCCATAGAGATAAAAGATGCATTGAGCATTTTTTTTTTTTTCGAATCTTGCCTCGCGATTGAAATGATGATCTCTTCTATGCAATGAATCATTTACTGCTACGTACATAAATATAAGAGTTTCAGTAAAGAATTGATCGCGTTTTGCGAGAAACTTGAGCAGAAATTACTGCAGAGAATCAGGATTCGTGTAAAGGACGAAAGACAGATGGAATGGAATAAAAAAATCACAATCACAGTGTGTATATCATTGTATAATGTAAAGAAGAAATTATGAAAAAAATTGGATATCGTATGTCGATAACGCACATGTCGATATCATTGATATCAATTGCCAATTAGTGTATGTCAGATCTAACGGATAGAGGTCAATATGGTTTGATGTGTTTTTTTTTTGTCCAGCTGTTTTTAGCGTCTTCCGGCGATGATAGGGGCGGAATAAGCCGAATAAGCCGCCGGTAGAGCGGGATAAGCGGAATAAGCGGAATAAGCCAATGGCGCAGCCGCTACGTATGGAGCGGCAATGGCGTGATTGACGGCATGTGCATTGTAACTCGAGGCGTAGGTACCGACTGTCAGAGCTGCGGGCACCGCCGGCGCCGCTGCAATTGCTGGGATCGCTGCAGGAATCACTCCGGCGGAACAGACCGAAGAGACGGCCACGAGAGCGCCAATGAGAACCTATGAATTTCAAACATATGAATTTCGGATAATCGGCAAAAAAAAACCCTCTCTGCAATGCTACTACTTCGTTAACATATAATATTAAACACGGATATGTAAGTAATTTTAAAATTGTGGAGAAACTTCTAAAATCACTTTTAGTATAAAAGAAAAAATTATATGAAAAATTATATGATGTAAATGAGGTACGACAAAAAAAAAATACATGTATATATATATATTAAGTGTAATTGAAATGTATATTTAAACAAAATATTTTTTGTATATTAATATAAGACAGATACATACGTACTATATTCGGTGCCAAATTTAGATCAAGGATTAACAAATTTTCGAAAGATTAATTTCTGTCTTTCAGTTATTATTGTCTCTATGTACTACAAGATATTATTTCATATAGGGGGGGAGGAGGGGAGGGCATTAAAGTGTGTGTTATTTATAATATTTACGTATGCACGAAATGCGTATTGATAATTATTCATGAAAACTTACAAAGATTTTGGTCATCATTTTTAACTGCGGTGAGTGCGGTGCGTAAATGATTGTCTCGCTGCGTTCACTGCGATGCCTATTCTCGATTACTTCGGTGTCTTTTATACATCGTGCCTTCCCTTACAAGAACAAAGACTCTCTCCCACCGTGATCACGATTTGTTGTACAACTCGCTTGCACACGAGGGCACATCCGGAGTAATATATGTATATCAGTACATGTATATACATCGCGTATACTATGACCGGTCTCCGGACTCGGTGCCGCATTTTCATTACTACTCAAGTCTGTTACCGATGTACGAATTTCGTCTGACAATGATGAACTTCTTTATAACTTCTTTTCTCTTTTCTTACACGCAGTATACAAAATATAATAATAATAGTATAGTATAATAATATTTGTATACATATTAATTATTATATTAATACGATAAGCGCGCAAAATTGAGTAGTTATTATTTTCTGCTCAAATGGGCAAGCCGACATATATGAGAATAAAGTACGATAACGCAATTGAGCCTAATCTGTCGTAATTGCAATATTACCGCGGCAAATTGAACATTTTCCTTGTGTAAAATCCGAACCCAATTTAAATCTCTCTTTCAATAAATTTGCAAAATTGTATCGTGTTGACGTAATTGACATTGGACGAAAAATATGATATGTCTTCTTTCAAATTTATTTTGGTTTTCTTTTTTAATTGTGGAAACAAGTATAACTATGTATATTTTATATATTTAAGATATTACATTTGTTTATTTATTGCTCTAATCTAAAATTAATACATTTTATTCCTTTACAGAATAAATTTCAGATTTCTTTTCCGATCGACTTCGCTTCTTTGTGAAGAGATAAAAAATAAGGGATAGAAAAAGCTACAGGATCAACGTACGCGATTTGTACCTTCGAACGGATATACATATTAAGTATGCAAACGATCGAATCAAACAGAATTTGTTTTTGTCATCATCGTGGCGAGCGATGAGAAAGATCAGAAGCAGGATATATGTATAGCTTTCAAGGTTATGGCGAGATTGCGATGTGGTTGGACGAGATTCGAGTCCAAGAGTTTCCAACTTTTGCCGCCTGCACTTGGTCAAGTAATCTGCAGACTGAGCTCTGAAGTCTGAAGGCTTTCGCATCTTTTTCTTGCCCTGTTTGCGCGTCACGTCGATCGTCGCCTGTAGAAGAAACTGGTAGGTACTCGAAGATTCTAAGGGATTTGATCGCTTCTTAGCGATATTTCTTCGACTCGATTCACATGATGTGATTCGATCATTCAACGACAATCGCGCTTTCCGCTTTCGCGCGTCTGTCTCAGCATCTGTCCAATTGGCCATGCGTTCCGTTCAACCTTCCGAAAGTACGTACAGGTACTTTCCTCGGGTACCCGATACGTGTTTCGATCTACTTGCTCAAGAAGCTACGAGACGTTACGTAAATCGTCGAGTATCTAGATTATCGATGCGTAACTCGCAGAATGTCATGCTAAAAATCGCGACCTGATTCATGATGACTTTGGCTGCGAAACAGAAATGTTTCAAGAATCATCGTAGACGTATTATGTATATATTATACATAATAACTCATCGAACGATCACGAATCAACTAATTTATTACAATCCAAATGTTGGTAATGTTGGTATATATTTGAGATTAATCAGGTTAATGTTATTATTTTATTAAAAAAAGATATACATACATGTATTAGATTAGAATGATATACGAGTAAATTATGCAATTGTATACGACGTACAGGGGAGGCTGAATAATGTTGATAAATTTTTTCATTATTCAAGATGAAAAATGGATTATTTTCTTAAAGTGAGGGCAAGGACGTGAATTGGCGAGAAAAAAGAACATCTTTTCTATCAAAAATCTTTTACGACAGCCTTGATCGAAGGATGGGTTGAATTGTACAAATCGCTCAAGCCTCTGTGTCCGAGATATCTGCCCAATCGGAATTATATAAACGCGGCTGACGCGAAATGAATCGTTATGTAATCCTCCCTGCGTAGGTACGTGGTCGAATACAATGTGTGGCAAGGTTGCACGACAGGGGAAATGATTACATGGAACGCATTCAGATTGGCTTACGGCTGCTGGCTGACAATTAGCGAACGGCTCTATTCGTACGTGTTTGATCAAATTAGCACGATCGTGAAGCGTACACTATAAATTTTTAAATTCGTACCTACATGTTCCGTTCCATCACATCTTACAAATTTTACTTACTTATCATATATACATATATATGTATTTTATTCTCACAAATCCTTGCAAGACATGACGTTAAATGCTACGAATAATATTATATATAATACTCTTATAATGTTTCTCGATCGACATATACGTGTACAGAGAGATAAATGACACGCGTGTTTCAATTCCCAATCAAGACAGAATTGAAAGGAAAGATATGGAAAATCTTCATCAAATGTGTTAAGCTATCGAAACATAATCTCGAGATGAAAATATAATCTGAAGAAGATGGAAAAAATGGAATAATTAATTCGCTGTATTTGGAAAGGCATTTAAGCAACGCATTGGCGCAAGTTATTAATGCAGGAATAACATTGTTTCGCTAGCCATTAATCGAAGATCATTGAATTGTTGCGAATCAGTGACGAAAACATTGGTGTTGAAAGGAAACCAGCCACTTGAGGATGCTCGTCGTGCTTCCTCATGTAAGAGAAAGAGAGAGTTGCGCTAAAAGGCGCGGTGCTAACTCCCTGCTCGTTTTTCGTTAACCAGGAGGTAGAGGTACCGTTGGCCTTGACGATGTGCCAGTTGGGGGTCGGACAAAGCGCTATAAAGGCTTTTGCTTTTTCAATCGGAAAGCAGAACCTTTTCTTTCATCGCTTCGAGTAGCAGTCTCGATATTAAATCGTTCAACATGTTCAAGCTGGTGAGTTAATTTCTAAGGTTGTAATCTACTAAGCGTTTTAATTACGTTTTTATTACGATTAATTTTTGATACAATCAAAGTTTATTACTTATTAAATATTTTTAGAATCTTATTCAATCTTGATTGCATTCAATTATTATCGTTTTACTTTGCAATTGAAAAAATTTGCAATTGAAAGCTGTTATTTTCTAATTCTTTTTCAAATAATGTTTTTATTCATCTTAGAACATTTTAGAAATATTTTTTTGCAAAATGTAATAAAAGAATATGTGTGTGTGTAACAATTCTCGTATTATTGACAAACATCACGTGATTGTATGCACGTTAATGAATATATGCGTGATTCAATTGATTCTTTCAGTGCATTCTCTCCGTTCTCCTAACTATCGTATACGCTGCACCTGCACCTGCGCCAGGAGCAGTGCTGGCGGCACCTGCGGCAATTGCGGCAGTTCCAGCGCCCATCGTGACAGCAAGTAGCAGCCAAGTGGTCGCTAGAAATTACAACACGCTCGCCGCAGCTCCACTGGCTCCGATCGCCTATGCCGCGTCACCTCTAGCAGCTTACAGCACTCATGCCGTTGCACCACTTGCACCTGCTGCATACGCAGGATACGCTGCTTATTCCGCACCACTCCTGCTTTAATACATCGGGCGAATTAATACATCGGGCTCGATCCGCTCGATGCTTCTTGAATCTCTATCGCAAATTCTTATGGCAAAACGATCGATGATTGACTGTTATTCAAATGTTATCTCATGATATGTCAAATATTTGTAATATTTTCAATAAATCCAATTTTTCCATCTGAATTTTCGTTGTATTCGATCTTTATATCTTCATAATCTATACGTATTTTTATTTTTTAAATTTACATCTTTCTAGAAAGATTTTCCCTCTTCTCTCTCTCTCTCTCTCTTTCTATAATCAGATAAAGTTTTTCTTCATCTGTAAGAAATTTTATTAATTAATTAATTTTATTTAGTCATTGTATTATTTTAACAGTATTATTAATTTTAGCTATCACGTGCATATAATAAAATATTATTATTAGGTATTATACAATACGTACAATAGTATATATTAGGTGTTGGAATTAATTCGTAGCGTTTTTTAATGAAAGAATGTTATTTATTTCACATGAGCATTAAAAAATACATTAATGAAAGTATTTCCCATCACTTGTAAAACGCTACGAATTAATTCCAACACCTAATATATATATAATAATATACTCGTATGTATAAGCATGTTGAAAATTTGTGGAAAAGATTATTTGATATTTCCTAGTAAATACACGCAGGCACGCACGCACGCACGCACACACGCACACACACACACACACATATATATATCTTATCCGTAGAAAAATTCTCCGTTTTTACAATCCTTTTGATTTGGACTATTTGGAATAAAGCGAAAAAGAGTCGGAAATATATGTATATTATTTACATGAATTTAATTCGCTTAACACAGGAGTGTTTCAAGTGGTTTATGTCGACGTAATCAAGGAAATAAAAACAAACGGGAAAGAGAGAGAGAGAGAGAGAGAGAGAGAGAGAGAGAGAGAGAGG